ACAGGTCAATATTTTAATTATTACATTCTTAAAAACTAGACAAACAGCTAATGAGACAGTGTCCATTTTAGCCGTCTGTTTATGAAATTAAAAAGGATCGCTTCAAGGGAATGAAACTAATCTAGATGATAACGAAAATAGCAGTTTATCTTACACATTTGGACATGCAGGAGGTTTATTTTTGTCACCTGGGCAGACCAATGTAAGAAAACAGCAGAAACCTGATGGTAAGTGCTGGCAGTGGGTTTAGTCAGGAGATATTAACACCAGGGAGGACCTCGGATATCCTGCCTGCTCATGGCAGCACCAGCCACTGTCACCCCACACAGTACATACCACAAGGCTTTCCCTGGTGGGGAAACAATCAACTGGGGGTGAACCTCTGCCTAACCTACAAAATTCTGAATCCTCCTGCCTCCCATCCAGCAAAGGCCACCAAAGTCAAGTATCCATGTGAAAATTCCTCATTTTCCTTTCCTAACACACAATTGCCCATCAGTCAGGCTTCTTCCCATCTCCTGCACTGAGCACTTGGCATCCCTTAGCCCTAAATCCTCATTGCAATCTACCTGCTGACCTATACTGCACATACCCTGCCAACATACACTGGATCAGTCCTACCAGGCTGCCCACAGCTCCAAACACCAAATCACAGAAATATAAACCAGAAATGTTTCAAACATCTTCCTGGCACTCAGTCTCACCAGACCTTCCAGCACCCCATCAGCTTCAGCTTCAGGAATCCCAGCACATGTGCAGTCAGAGAGATGCTCATCCTACCACTTGAAAAAAAAAAACCAACACCTGCATCAAAAAGCAGGTTTTTGCCCTCTAACATAGTTCTAGTGGCAGGATGATTTTCTTCATGAGCTACCCTCTCTAATATCTTGAAAACGAGATGGAGCAGCCCCTCAAAAGGTTTTATTGAAATAACAGCCATTCTACAAATTGAATGGAGAAAAACTGAAATGAAGATTTCCTGTAGTGGTTTTCTAATCTTATTTTGAGGATGACCTAAATGAAAGGTAGGAGGACTGAAGCTGGCACAGTTAACTATCAAAAGATCCAACTACTCTTGCAGCTTCATTCCAGATTAACTGTTTTCTGTTTAAGCCGGAAATCTGGCTTAAATCATATAATGGGTTTCGGCTTCTTTCCACACAGCAAACTACTGTTTCAGACCCTAAAACTTCCTTAAAAATCTATTCCATAAATAAGTCCAACTCTCTTGTTAAAATATACTGATGACAAAGACTTGTCCATTAATAGGAGATAAAGCCTTTTTTTGTTAATGTCACTTCATCACACTGCATTGTTCAAAGAACTGAGCCTTTGATGACCATCCCTCCGTGACATATGGATTTTTCCTTTGCCCTCACAGCAGGCAAGGACACCACACTGATTTCTACATTTCATACATGAATACAAGAAGAAAAACACTTTCTCCTAAGCTAACGTGAAATGGACAGTACTTAAATATCAGCTCTTGAAGGATGTGGTTTGGGCACAGTTATTGTGCTGTTGACACAAGCCCTTCCCGGTGGCACACATCCCAGACACACCACCTCATCTTTCTCATTCACAGCAGTTTTAACCACCCTGTTGGTCTAGTCTCACTGTAACTCTCCAATGTTCCCATTCCACAAAGGTGGAAGGTCCCTACAAATATTTTAAAAGTCAAGGCTTCACTTATAGCTCCTTCACAAATTACTTATGTGTAAGAGTAGTTGTAATCCACTTTGCCAAGAGGTAAAAAAATTACACTCTGCACCGGGAAATGCAGTATTCCTAATTTAACTACCTGTTTATTATGTGAAAATAACCATGTAAACTGAGCTGACACAAACCAAATGGGTGATGAAAATAACAGCACATTTCAAGGAGTGGAAACACAGATGGCTCACTCAAGTCTGCAGGAAGTTACTAATCATCACTCTGTAATACCTTCTACAGACAGATCCATGAGGTCTGTAGCCAGAACAGCAACTTCTTGAAACCTATCCATCTAAACAACAGCAAGCCTGGACACAAACTCCTTCACTGTAACTTGACAGAAGACTAAAGAGGGGGTAAAACTGAAAAATGCAATGGATGGATAAATCATGCTGCATTTGCTGACGTGGAGTCTGTTACTAAAACGAGCTTATCTGAAGAAGAAAACTCAGATGTTAAGTTGGGCTTATTAGAAAATGAGGTAGCCACTTAAGAAGAGTGTGATTTTTTATTTTGAAGAACAATGTAGGCAGATTAACAGATCTGCATCTGTGCTGTAGAAAGAATGGGCAAAATCCGATACAGATTATCAAGGAGTGGACAAGAAGACATTCACAAGTAATGCTTTGGGCAATTACATTGCAGTTAGAGGAGGCAGGTAACAAAAGAAGTCACCAAGACATAAAGAGTTGTTCCTGCCTCCGTATCAGCATCCGCTCTGCTGAAAGGGATGGATCCAGCCCTACCATGCTGCAAACTCTCCTCAGCCTCTGCCCCAGCCCTGGTTCTGCTCCCCTCTCACAGCCATCTGAAATACCACATGGGACCAGACAGCACTCCCTGCAGAAAGTCTCAATAAGCTAGCAGGTCCCTGAGCAGGGGACAACAACAGATAGGAAACAGATTCAGTTTTACATACAAATTCTGTGGGCCAAAACTCTCAGAACCAAAGTAAATTATATGCAAGTGAGAACATAAATAACCAAATTAAAACTTAGCCAGTAGACAACAGGTGAATATCCTTGCAACTTCTATTCCAGTCTATTATCCAGCACTTGGAAGTCTGGAAGAAAAACCTCTCTTTCCTGAGAATTGTTTTTGTTCTTAGTTCAGCCAAAAGGAAAGAATCCAATTGCAAAAATGTTGCAACCAGAGCAAAGCATTCAGTAATTAAGTATAAATAGGTATAAGCAAAGCCAATGGAGGCTTCATATCCTGAGTGCTCCATCAAGTTTACAACAACCTAAATCCCCATTGAGTTTAAAAGTGGTTCTTTTGGCACCTTTCCTTACTGAACATCTCCCCCAACTTTTACACTGGTCTTTCTTTATGAATCAGATAAAACTCAAAAACGTCAAGAGCTCTGATTCCCAAGTGACAAGACCACAGAGGCCACCAGTGTGAAGCTGCCCTACTGTAGGCTGGTGACAGGGCTGCTTCATCTGCGGGGACCCATCTTGTCCAGAGCACGACGCTGCGATGCTCTGGAAATGTGCATTTTCTCCTGCCTACAAGTTGCTTGCAAAACTCCCTTTCAGCTGCTTAACGCACATTGTCTTTGACTTTTGGCACTTGGTCATGCAGAGGTTTTCATTGGCAGTTCCCAAGGTCACGAAGGCGACCATCCCAGGCCTCAGCTGAAAGACAGACCCCTGGGGCCAATCTTCTCATGCAACCCTCCATGTGTTAAACAAAGTGGGACACAGCCCAGTCATCACTTCAGACTCCAACTTACAACAATCTAGAAATTCATCTTAATTTTTTTTTTTACTTTACTCTGTGATATTTAAAATATCTGAGACACACGGAATGTGTCTAAGATACTACTTTACTGTGCATACTCAGCACACTGCATTCTAAAATATTTCCTAATTTAAAGCAATATAGCAGCCTGCATAATTTGATGTCCTATTTGCAGACACACACAGGGTGGAAAAACCAATATGGAATATTCTGGATTTCTGACAAGACATTATCAATGCAAGGTGGCTCTTCTGCTTTCCTGTCTATTGGTAATAACATAACAATACCAAATCCATGAAATTCCTGAGCTGAGAACATGACAGAGCTACTAAAACCCCCCTCATTTATAAACTACTACTAAGAGTGAAAACCCAGGTCTTGATCCCTACCACATATACAGTTACCTCAACTGTGGCACCTGGCTCTAGCAAAATGCTTTCATACTTTATTAACTAGTTGAGTTAGGGCTTCTGTGACTATTGCTTAAGAATATTCATTGGTTCACTGTGAAGTCCTCATGACATCTGGAATTTCAGGAGAAATTAAAGATCTCAGCTTTGTTACTCCCCTGAACACTGAGAACCACTGAGGCACCCAGTTGCAGCTCAGTAAGTTCTACAAGCAGAGTATCTGCAAGATGAAGACAGAAGTCACTATAGTCCTATCAATATTTTTTTTTAATTCTGCTTTTCCTTTCTATGACTTTATATTCTGCTAAACACTTCACTAAGTTTGGTTATTATGGGGATACAATATATTTAGAATGGATTTTGACAGTAAACCTAAACCACTAAGCCTGTTGAACATTTAAATAATTACTTTTGAGTATAGTCTGTTAATATAGCTTTATTACAAAAATAAACTTACCTTTAGCACACAACAATTAATAAAAAATTAAAACACTCATCAGAATAGCAAAAGATTTAATTTAAACTCTATTAATAAATTAATGAAGTGAAATGAAATACTATGCATTAAATTATGCTTAGGGTTTGTTTATAATTTCACATATTTTCATGCTAGTTTTTTGATATTATGAGATTGAATGCAGATTATTGAAGTACAAACCACTGTGGCAATGTGGGCTTATCTGCTTTTCAAGTGTTTCTTCTGTAATTCCTACAAGCATTTCTGTCTTCCCAGCATACATTGATGATGTTACAATACAATACACATTAGCCACACTGTTCATATCCCGTGAGAACTAAAATACACATGCATTTGAAAGGAAGAAATGCATGCTACAGGGCTCTGAGACAATAGTTCATTTTCTCAGTTTTTTTTCTTTTACTGAAATAACACATTTAATGGAATTTCCTGTAAGGAAATTACAATTAATAAAGAACTAAATTACAAATCCATTAGATTTCAGTCACTGCTGCAACAAAACAGAGTTTTCATGAACACTCAAAAAATCCAATAATGTAACCTCTGGTAAAGCTTGAAAAAGCCCTGAAGGACAAGGCAGTTAGATCAATATTAGTTTATTTTAACTGCTGTGCAGTATGAAGAGATGAGGCTGATCATCTGATGGATTTTATTACCTGTCGGAGAGATAAGTCCTGGTGATAAGAGGCCTGGAACTCCATGGGGCAGAAGACGTGCATTTTCTTGTATAGCAACTCCTAGTGAACGCTTGGGGGGTCTTCCTGGTCGAGAGCTGATGAAATAAGAGGATAAATGAAAACGTATTTTCTTTTTGAAATACTTGCTTACTACACATGGTATTGATTTGTATAAAATACCGGAACCATCCATGATACACAAAAATATATTAGAAATTCTTGCCTAGGAAAAAAAGAAAAATTAATTGATTAAACATACAAGATTATATAAGTTTCAAATAAACTAACAACAAACTGCCAAAAAGCCCCTAGAGTTAACACAATCATGAGTTTAAAGTCAAATAAATGACTAGAAAGCTAAAAGGTTTTTTTTTTTAATTTGCACAAGACCAGAAAGCAATCCATATTTCTAGTCCTATCCTACCACTGCTTTGCTAATTAATATTATTTTCTTAATATTATTGTCTGTAAAATGGAGCTCCAGAAATTCACATGTATGTGTAATTCACGTGTAAAATCTTGAAAATGCAACTAGATGCATTACTCGGCTCACAAACCATGGTTTATAGGGGTTGTGGATTAATGATTCAATCAGGACTCCAGAGCTATTCAGATTGGGTGCATCAGAATTTATGAGCTCAGCCCCCGTGCTGCATGAATACAGCCACGCTGCTTCCAGCCACCACGACAAACCAGCCCAGGGCTGACCAGGCTGTTTCACAGAAGGTACATCTACATGTACCTCTACTGCCCATACAGTTATCAAGCTTTTCCATTATCCAGGGCTTCCATGACCTTACAGGACATTAGTGGAGAGGGGTCTCAGCAGTAAGTGCTCCAAAGTCTATGCCACACGCTTGCACCACGGCAAAATAAAAGTTGTGCTGCCTAAAGATGAGAAGTTGAAACCTTGAACGCAACATATTCTTAAGCCTTGCCTTCTGAATCATGGCAGAAAATTGCCTACTTCTGACGATGCAGCAATAATTTAACACTGAGCTTTTCCAAAATCGACTAATCTTTCTGGATTGACTGGTGTTTTAATTATTACAGATTGGTAAAACCAAGAATGTTAACCCAACCTGTCAAAAATCTCACTGTCCCTTGACCAGCTTATGAATTATGATTGCAGTTTTTAATCAAAACTGTTTACAGACCTGTTACATTTAATTATTGTTTTCAACCACCACATTTACCCCTGACATCACTATGTGTACATGAAATCATCCTACACAGTTGCCATCATAATACAGAGATTTACAGGCCGAAAACCACTTGAATCAGCTCTCCCCCAAGTCAGCTAATAAAAATTCAACCTCCTCGTGTTAGGAAAAGTATTGCTGCTTCTTTTTTGGTCAAAATAAATTTTCCTCTGTTGAATAATAGTGCCTTTGACAAAATATAGCGAAACATTGTATAAAATAACTAAGCTGCAACAATGAATGAGGTTTGAATAGAAAACATTTCCAAAATGACTTCTAGTTCACAAAGAAATTTAAGTTAAACTTCACTCTATCAACTTACAGTGGCAAAGCCCTCCATCAATGTAAAGCAAACTCTGTGTTTAAATGAAGACAGCTTCCAGCAACACTACACAGAGGTACCATTAACCTGTTCATTTTTCACAGTGTGCTCGTGTTATTTTGTTTTAGTGTACATCAAAGTAGCACAAAATCATTTTTTTGGTTTATTATTTTATCTCTATAAAACTATTCCCCCCTGTTCTGAGCTTCAGGTTTGTCCATTTTGTATTTCATTTTATTCAGTACTTTTCCCATTTTTCTTCTTTATGCTTTAAGTTGTTTATCATAATATGATAGCTACGTAGTAAAGCCTACTACAAGATCCCAGACTCACTAGACTACCATAAAGTAAGCCTAAAATAAGAGTATTTGAGTTTCTCAGGAAGTTAGAATACCACATGCATTCTCTATTAAAATCACCTGCTGAAATCATCCACTGCACAACAATACTGTCTAACAGACAGTAATAGGCTGGTATGTTGGGGTTTTAAACAAAAAAGAATCATTGCTCTTTTGATTTACAGAAGCCTGTGCTAATACACATGTATGTGTAAGTGCTTAGTTGGCACTTACTGTCTCTGAAAAAAATTACAAAACAGCTAAAATTAGCAGCTTTCTCCAGCAGAAGAGCTAAATCAACAAAACTACAAAACATTGCCTTCTCAAGCTGAAATACTAACAAATCTTTTGCATAAAACTCCATACGTTGATATTAATCTAAGAAAAACATTTTAGAAATTAAACAGCTTTAAAAAAAATTATGAAGAGATGTTTTATTTATGATTTGAGTTTTCAGAGGAAGAAGTGGGAAACAATGGATTTTCACTCCGGGGTATGCAGTTTTTGCACACAGAACATTTTCTGTCAATGACTATTGCCTCTGGGTAGGCAACTTGTAGCCCACAAGTTTACCAGATCAGATGTTAAGGCAATTCCCCGCATATACTACAAGCAGAAGTGAAACTGTCCAATCTGTGGTTATTCATTTTTCAGAACGCTCAGGGTTTAAAAAAAAAAAAAGTTTTAGGAGATCATAAAAGAGAAGTTCACACCAAAACTTACTCAGCTCTCTTTCAGAGTCCCACTGACTGCGTTTATGTCCTGCCTACTTATATAAGTAAGGCAAGCACCACTAGGAAAACATAATACTGTTTTCTCCGGGTTTTGGTGTCTTTGGGATTGTGGTCCTTTTGGGGAAGAGGAGGTGATAGTCTCTGAAGAAAAAAAGGAAAAAAAAAAGTATACTTCTAACCTACTCATGTCCTTTTAATGAATATGACCATAAAGCCAGAGGCCAGATTCTGATCTTATTTATGTAGCTGTAGCCATAATAATTCAAATGGAATTGTTCCCAGCTGATTCTGTTCAAATAAAATCAAAGTCCTCTGTCTCTAATTCAACATTAGCTTTTAAATTAAAAACTCAAGGCTGGATACTACTTATAGCAGACTGACTATCACTCATACAACACCTGCAAAAGAACTGTTTGGGTCTTTAATACTGTGTTCTCTAGTTTACATGTGAACATCTTTAACGCTGTGTGTCTGGTTCCAAACCAAACAGCCCCGCAGCACTGCGATACACTACTGCGGAGTCTGCAGTAGATACCTTGCACTTTCAGCTAGATGGCCTGGAGGTGACCAGAGAACATGTCACCCATCATGAAGCAAGATCTGTTACTTGGGAGGACCCCAGAAATCACAGAAAGCACTGTGGTAGAACATCTGAACCAAAGCACTTCCAGTCTTGTTTTGGTTAAAAACAAATTTTCCGTCATTTTTGTTTAAACATGAAATCAGAAATTTTATAGAGACAGGACACAAATGTTGCTCTAGATCTTATTTTTTAATAATATATACACAAAGGAAACAAATACATTAGAAGATTTCAAAATTTCTATGGGATTTACTTTACATTGTGAATATACTGCTGTTAGGGCTGCGGCTGGCACCACCAAGCAATGAAATCTCACTGGTCTATCTCAACACTCCTAGCACCGGGTATGCTTCCTGGCATTTTATGAAGTCTAGAATTTTCACAAATTTCACATTTACTCTTGAAAACCTATTTAGCCTTCACAATTCAGAGAAAATCGCTAATACAGAAACAGAACAGAAATCATAAGGCATGTGGAATTATCTTTGGGGAGAGTAAGACATAATTTTTAAGCATTAGCATATAAATGCTAATATTATTAGCATAAAAATATTAACTTTATTTAATATTATTTCTCTTAATCTTTTTTCACCCTGCTCTTTTTAAAAGTTCTATATTCAAGAAGTAGAGAAAAATCTTTTCCTCATTGATAACAAAGGAAGCATAAACAAGAACAGTCAGCTTCAAACAGTTTTAAATGTGTTTCTTTAAGATTCTAATCTACATAAATTTTCTGTTTGCTATTAATAGGTCTTTGTGAATGGAAAATGACTCAATTCTAAATTAGATGTTATTTCAGTTAGAAACTGCTAGTTTATAGATATCTCTTAAAAACATTTTAAAGTATAAGAGTTATTGGTCACAAGTGAAGAACATGGAGACTAAAACAGAAGTACAACATCATATCTCATTAGCAGATCTAGTAATCTTATTCTTTTTACTAAATAATGCAAATAAATTGGCCAGCTCAAAGTCTATAGTGATTAAAATTCTATTAGTACCTCTCAAAACCAAAACCAAAAAGCCCTTGGGTCATCAATTACTTGAAAGTGAAGATGATTGGAGGTTTTGGATTTTTACCTGGATTTAACACTATGGTTATAAAGTCATTCTTGTCATCCTCTCCACACCACCCCTGCAAAAACCACTAACTGAAAGAGAAAAATGAACTAATCTGAATGTTGTTCTTTTCTGTATTTTGTTTGGAATTTAATTTATCAGAGACGAAATTGCATTTTAAGCAGTATATTTGACAGTTAAATATTTATACAGTAAAATGTTGAGAAATTGTTCATTAATGTCTGTTTTTCCTTTATTTCTCACTCCTGTTGAGAGCTAATTTTATATTTTTCCTCTCAAAGTTTTATATATTCCCTAGATATGCCAAGGATTTTTAATTTGAATCAAAACATAGAATAAGGCTATTTTGGTGATTTTTTAAAAAAATTACTGATCAGCTTCATCTTTTATAACTCTATTTTATGCTCATCACAGACAACTGTATTGCATAAAATCCACAAATTCATCAACTTTGTAAAATGTAATTAATCAGTGGAAACAGCCAGCACATCACTGTTGATGTATGATAGCGCTCTACTTTTGTGCTTTTAAATACAGAAGACTTACTAGAATCAGAAGTGAATTTGCATATTAATCAAGACAAATAAACATGTGGTGATTTAACTAGGAAACTGTTATTTGGATGACAATTTAATCAGCACAGGTTGAAAGGTCCATCACTGCAGCATCCTGTTTCTGCTAAAATATTGATTGCATTACTGATTTCAGTAATGCTTTATTTTACAGGGCACAAATAACCATGTAATTACTCTTTAATTGAATGGTAATTGCTTGCTGGCAATTATTTGTTAAGTTTTGGAGTTTAATTACTAGGTTATTTGTGTTTTGTGAAATAA